TGGCGAGGTGGATTCAGATCCTCAACGATGATAGGACAGACCATAGACCGTGAACCAACTTCAAATGCCCACGTTGCTCCTCCCTCAAAATTGTCCTTCAAATGGAGTCCACCTTCCTTGTTAATAAGCTGCATATTTACACAAGAATAAAATACAGTCAGAAACATTTTACTCTTGTTAGTAACTGTGCAAAAGTACAAAATGTCAAAAAGCTAATGTAGATATAAGAGTAATTTAATCATTTCCAAAACACAGTGTGCATAAATCTTGACCGATGTCCTTGATAACTGTACTTAATAGGACAAGATATCCTCATATCATGTTTATGCCTATTAAATTTCATAGGCATTCTCCATCCCGGATCGCAATACCCATTCGCAGCAGTACTTGACAAAGTTTCCACAAAACATGAGCAGGTGATCCCTCTATTGGGTTTAGAAAGGGCAGCAAAAATAGAAACACCCATCCAAATTAGCATGGAAAACATATAGATAGTATATGTAATCGATACCTTCGAGTCCCCAGTTTGTTTTAGCTTATCTGCATGCTTTGTCACACTTTGCAAGAAAAGCATATGCTTGATGGTGCGTTCAAGCAGAGAATCTATGCTACACTGTTAGACCACAGTAACACAAGAAAGAATAATATAACATTAACTATCAAAATTAATTATCAGATGAAAAAAGACATGCAGCATAAGGATTAGAGAAATGCATTACTTTTGCTCCATTTGGCACAATCTCGCGCAACTCCTTTACCCGATCTTGGATCATCTGCCGATCTTTGGGCCTGGGTCTCAGGTTCTCTCCAGGTTTAAGCCTTTTATGATTTGGTTTGCTTGTTGCGTCATTTTTCTTGGAAAATGCAGTTGAAACACTGCTATCATGCCATGCTTTATGGCCCTGCTCAACCCAGGAACTCAGCTGGGACCCGTAGATGGAAGTAGTTTGAGAATAACTTCCAGCATCATCCTTACTGCAGCCAGATCTAAAAGAGGTAGATGCTATGGTCCCTGCTTTTCCAGGCAGGCTAATTAACTCCCTCTGTACCCGATCAGCCATACCAATTGAGCCATAGGTGGGAGAACCACTGGGAAAGGATGACGCACTGATCTTTGTCAATGATGTCTTGCAAGACACATTATCATCTGAGCTCTGCTTGGCAGCAGCATGCACCCTAGATACCACAGCATCTAAAAGATCAGTACCCATGTCAGAGAACATATTACTGTCTGATATTCCTTCATTAAGTGAAAAAATATCAGAATTTGCCTCCCGGATACTCGTAAATGCTAAAGCATCGTTAACCATATCTTGTGTCTTCACACATGCCTCTTCCCGAAGTAAATTATTCCACTGGTCGTCGAGTAGTTTGTTTTTAAAACCCACGCCCAAAATATCATACAAGTCATCCCCAGATGGAAGTTGAGCACATGGCTCATCAATCATAGCATTTACAGTAACCGTATTCTGACTTCCAGAAGCATTCTTCAGGCAATCATTAACAGGACCAAGGATTTTCTCACCCAAATATATATGTTCCCCTGGTTGAGTTAGTGGGATGTTAAGTGCTTGAAACAAGTCGCTATCAACCTTTTTTTCCATAGCAGGTATTTCATTTTTAATAGGCTTCACATCTGGGGGATAATATTCATGATTGGAACTCCCTGAGAGAATGCCACTCGCACTAAAACGACCCAACAGACTGGATAAATGAACCTCCTCTGCCCTTGATGAACCAGCATTTTGAATTCCAACCCCTGCCAGAAAAGTGGACGAGTGATTAAGATCTGCCAACTTCTGCAGTTTCAATAACGAGCACGGAATTGAGTGTGGTCTTGTCTGACCACCCATTTCATTAGGTAACTGTCCAGATATATGAGAACCTCCAGGAGAAGTAAGAAAAAGGCCTCCATTTGTCCTTACATGGGACATAGTAAGGCTATCTGATTCACTTTTATTGTGACCAACATGATTTTGAGCACCCGCATCAGAGAAAATCTGCCGTTCCAGTAATTTTATTATGTTATTGTTGGTATCTGATTGACTAATAATTGGTTGATGATTGAATTCAGGTCTTGAATCAGTCTGCTGGTTCAATAATGCACCAGGATTTGAGGGGATTACTTCAGCTCCAACCACTCCATCAGGTAGCTGGCCCATGAATGGATTGTCTGGCTTCATCACTGGAATAATCTTTGGTTCACAGAAGTTATCACAAGATTTAGCCAAAGTTTTAGTCACGTTATGGATATGAATAGCTGAAGAAGTAGCAAGTTGATTATCCTGAATCTGTCTTGGTTGAGAACATGAAGGTCGACCAACAATTCTAGAAGCTGCCTGAGATGAGATTATTTGTTGGTTGAAGCTGTCTGCCAAGTAAGGAGTAGAGTTTGGCACCTTATAATTTCCAGAAAAACACACAGGAAGAGGCATTCCACAGGAAATAGGTATTCCAATTCTTTCTGTAGATTCATTTTCCATGTGGTTGTCAGACAGAAGGGCTCCAGGGATGCACCCTATTTGCAGGATCGAACTCTTCACAATGTTCACAAATCCAATATTCTCCGGAATCTGAAACAGTAAAGATAATATAATAAAATATATGGAAAGCAACAGGCAAACTGCTTTGACATAATGAACAAGTAACCAATGCAATAGAATATTGAAAATTACAAGTATAGCCATAGTATCAGTGGTGAAAAATAAATTTTCAATTGGACACCTTTATAAAGCAAGCAGAGTGGAAATGACTAACCTATAAGAAAAATATCCTTACCAGCAAGTGAAGTGAAATTACATACACATGATAACATTGGAATTTGAAATTCAATTCATTGTCACATCAAAGAAACTGAATAGCAAGGACTTACAGCCAAGGAAGAACCAAGTTGAAGTACTCCATAAGGACAAACAGGAACAACAGCAATTGTCTGCAAGACAATTAAAATCACTTCCATGGAAAGCAGATTAAAGATTATTTCAGAAATTAGAACATACAGAAAGCTAACAAACCTGCATCCCAGCTGAAAACTGGAGATGTGCCTCATTTAAACCCTGTAGAACACAAGATTGAAGTTATAACAGGTTTAACCACCAACAGTGCATTTCAGAGAGGAAAAAACAGTCATGCTGGTATTGCATTGAGATGTTTTATTGTTAAACTTTCATCAAAATCATTACTCATTCAAATGTATAGACCACTTAGGTCATTTTTGGTAGAAAAAAATGGAAAATACAGTGTGATACATATCATCAGTAGAGTTTCTGTACTATGATTATACAGGAGAAAAGAAAATGAATCCAACTTTCAATGGACTCCAGATGGCAAGTTGTGCAACCCAGTATAGATAATGGACACAGATTATGCAATATTTGGTGCTACAAAACTCTATGCCACAGCACTGGAAGATAAAATTATGTTAGCATACTTCTGGGGGATGGGCATCTCTACAGCAATTGTTTGCAAGAATCCACTCATGGTTTCCTGTAAAAGCAGCCCGGCCGACAATTCTGCAAAATTAAAAATCAGACTTTCAATAGGGAAAATGGATAAGGCAGTGAAAATGTGAAACTAAATCGTAAGATACACGAAAAAGAAGAAATACATACCCTTCACCAACTATAATAACCTGATTATTTGCCATCATTTTGTTAATAAGCAGACGGAGTCTATCCCCCTCATGAACTCCAAACTGTGAGGAATGAACCTCAGAACCTAAGTATCCTTCCCTTTCTCTGAAAGGCAGTACTAGGTTCTCAGTTCCAGAAGTGCTTGGTGAAACTGAACATAATGTTGATTCGGAGTTACATTCCTCCCAAATTAACAACCTGCAGATTAATAAAATATGTTAAGATCATTCAAATCAATAACCGAATTTGGGCAAGTAACTAAGACCAAAAAACAAAATAAATCACAGCTTCTGTCTAGTTGCCAAAAAGCCAAGATAAAAAACAAAATCAGATCCCATGTTCTGCTATGATTTTTCTTCCCTTTTTTACAACATCTTCTTAGAATCCAAACAGAAGGTAACAAAAAATTAAAGTCACCAATCAGCAGAATCTTCAGTTGCTGATAAAAGGGTAACTATTTCTTTCAGTTCGAAACCAAGATAACAGGACAGAATGGAATCAAACAAACAAAGACAGATAGAATCAGTCGATTTCACGAACACGAAATCAGTCAATACAGAAGGGGTGTAGTCAAACCAATACAAATCAGCTTTTACTGAGATTCTTAAAGACAAAACAGAATAAACCAAAACACAAGGATCCAGAAACAGAACGAAAAAGAAAGGGTCTATTGGATTGCGCATCCTACATAAGACAACAGTAACCAATCAGACTTCTGATAAAAAAGAAAAGAAAAAAAAAGGGAACAACCAGCCTGTAACATATCATTCAAAGACCAAGATAGCCCAAAAAGAAAAAACACAAATATAAGACCCTCTTTGTTTGGTCCCTCAGAAAACACATAAAGAAAAAGAAAACCCAGAATCCTATGCTAACACCATGACAGACCAAAAGATAAAATCACTCATCAGATCCTCTTTGTTTGGTCACTCTGAAAATACAAGAAATGTACAGTAAAAATAAAAGAAAACACCAAAAACAAGTGTTTTCCCTCTATTTATTCATCAATCAAACAGAAAAACATACACACACAAAAAAGGAATGTCCAAAGAAGTAAAACCCAGAAAACAAAAGGTCCAAGTATATTCCACGTTACACTTCTGTTTCCCTTACATTATCCTCCATTTTCTTAGCAACCAAACAAACAAGCAAAAGAAATAAGGGGGGAAAAGCACTTACTTAGGATTCTGGTATCCGATCTTCCAAAAAACAGCATAACACCATTGATTAACACAACAAAGTTTCTTCAAAACTTCTCTCAACAAAAGACCCATCTCACAACTTCAACTCGCTGACCTCCAAACCAAGGCTTTTCTTAAACCTTAAACAACAACTTAATAGCATGAAAAGAGTAACAAAAGTGAAGTCACTGTTTTGTGACTGGTCAGTGCCAAAGACTGCACATTTTTTGACAGTCTAACTTCCACGACAGGATCCTCTCCCAGCCTGTTTAGTTCTAAGACCACCACTCCTCTTTCTCTCTGGATCCAAGTTCACTGATATGACCATTCTCTTGCAAGCCATATTCCCACCACCGACACAGAAAAACCCACGAAGGTTTTTCAAACAAGAGAGCTTTAATGAAAAAGGAAAAAGCTTCAATATGATAGTGTTCATGCTACAATTTGAATCATTATATGTGTTACAGACCTCCTCAAATTCCCTTAAATGCAAGTATGGATTTTCTAAATCTAAGCCATGAAAAGAAGGTAAAAGTTAAATAATGTCTGGTTTAAAATTAAAATGAGATGCATCAGGAGGAAAAACTATGCATGATGGTGCACTTGTTCTTGTGGGATTCATGTGGTCTCTAAGTGTTCTAGCACGATTATTCTCATTATTCTCATTATGAAGCGATTGATTATCTTCTTCGGCCATATTTTCTAAAAATGATGAGAATACCCTATAAAGTTTACCACTTGATGTACGTGACCACACTCTCATACACGTGTAGGAATAGAATTAAAAAGAAGAAGAAGAAGAAATAAGAGATAAGAAACAAAGTTATATATAAGAAAAGTGAAAACAGAAAATAAAATAAATGTTATAATTTGTACAAGAACTTACCTTCTCGGTCACGATGCCAAAAACTTGACACAACTAAAAGATTGATGTCTTCTCCCAAGTGTAGGAGTGTCGAAATAATAAATAACCCGACAAGACAGGGGTTGAACCACAAGGAGGTTAATTGTACAAATTATAAATAACAATAATAACAATAACAACAACAACAATAATAATAGTAATAACAATAACAACAACAACAACAACAATAATAATAATAATAATA